TATTATTATATATATATATATATATATATATATATATATATATATATATATATCGATTTGGTGATTTGATCTGAAACCTAAAATACCCCGCCAATATTGCTAACAAATACAAAGTTCAAACTGATGGCAATGAATACTCACTCAAACTGTGAACATAAAGCAAATATTTCTCTTCTTAATTATAATTGTGAAACAAATTTCAATGAGCAAATGCCACAGGGAATTTCAGATCGTGCTGTAAACCCAGAAAATAAACGATCGGGCCAGAAATATGATAGTGGTGGTGATGGTGGAGGAATACGAAAGTGGAAGTAAACACATCTCCACTATTCAGCTTTATCATCAAAAATTTCAGTTTGAAGATGGTTATTGGGAAGTTCTAGAAAGCGGACTTACACGATTCTGAGATAACAAACGGTTTTTAAATTGTTTGAAAATTTGAAACAATTAAACAATTATTTAAAAATTCGAAATAATCATTTGTTTTTTGCCAAATCTCGAAAAAGTGTAATACGGAAGTTGGCAGTGACAGGAAGCACAACTGAGGAATTCAATTGAACTTATATTTTAATTCACAAGGATATGTTAAATACTGCAATATTTGGAATATCACATTGCTTTGGAACTGTTCAGTGACTTATTTGAGTAATCAAAGTAAATAGGTCCAAAAATAAGCATAAATCAGACTTGTTAGGGAAATAAAATTAAATTATGAAGGTAACTGTCTTTATTTAAATTAATTTAGTGCCGGATTATCCACTTATTCTCTCTTGATGGATCAATCTGAGGAGGAGATAATGTCGTATATTTTCTTTCAACTTTTGAAATCCATAAATATAAACTTAAAACCTTACAACTGCGAAAGTTAATCGACGGCAATTACCAATGTTTTTCAAAAAATAATCAGTTAGCAATGGGGTCGAAATTACCAGAATTGATAAAGAAAACAAATGAACTCAATGAACAAACAAAGAATACGGTCGACAGCAGAAAGAATCACTAGTACTGATAGTTAGAGTATTGAGGAATACTATGCATATCACCGTATCACCCTTTCTCTGAAAGCATAAGAAATGTCGTATAAAGTCTACTTCTTCGAAAACTTTTGAAATTCCAACTTTCACAGATCAAATAAAACAGTGTTATCCAGCCGACTCAGTTGTTCCAATCAGGAGTGACTATAAATTGAATAAGAAATCATTGGACTACTTACGCCATAAAATGAAATTATTCTTAATTTGATTTGATAGTAATGAAACGAATTCTTAATTTGATTTAATAATAATGAAACAATTCTGAAAACATCAAATCCATTCCAGTTTGTAATTATTGCGGAAGAACGATTGAACCCATTTCCTACCCTCAGAAAAGGATTTCTGTAAATTAGATTATATCGAGACAACATACCAAACGGTAATACAGTAATAGCTTACAGCAATAATGCTTATATTATACTCTTTTATCCTTATTTAGACAGCAAGAACGATGACTCATCCGGCAAAATCATTTGAACTGTTAATTGTAAAGAACTTGTCAAATGCAAATAGCTTAGAGTAGTTGCCAGTTTCACCACAGTACATATCACTGGTCAAGTGTCTGTATCACTAACAATCATACAGATAAGGGTGCAATTACTCATGATTCAGAAACAAGGAATTTCATCCTATGGAGACAAATCTCTACAAATGTTCATCCCGCCTTTCTTGATAAAACAATGATTAATATAACATAACTTGTCATGTCGCCCTACGGAACAAAATATTCTACGAAATAATTTTGAACAAGAGGCACACCAACAAAGCTCCATACTATTGGCCATCGTTAAATTGCTGCCCCAGAACAAAAACCTAAAATGTTTCCCAGATTTAATGAAAAAGCTGACAGGTAATGAAATAATCCCAGAACTTCCTTACATCATAAATATGAACCACTTATCATTTTCTTTGACACCGAAATTGTATCATTCTTTTGACCGGATAAACAAGTGTTAAGGCAAAGTATGAAGGTAATTCAGTAGTATAACCATGAAGATGGCTAACAGAATTCGTACCGCCGGAATATTAATCATTCATTTAAATCACACAAGCCTTAATCAGTAGCAATGATACTTCCTTTTTACAGAAGAGAAATTATCAAAACTAAGGATTTTTAGTAAAAAAGAGTTAAATGTAACAATAAAGTAGAAAAAAAAAATGACCCTCATATTTGCACTTCAGAGCAAAAAAAAGAACATTAAAAGAGTAAATTCAAATACAATGAATACTTTCTAATTTTTGGTGAAATAACAGGCTTTTTGAAGAAGACATAATAAATTAAAATGGTATAAGCTTATCTACCATCATAGCTTTAAATGGCATGGACGCTTTGCTTTGAATAAATATGAAATAATCGGAATGGCTGATAACATAATTCTCCTGCAGTTATTACTTTTAATTTTAGAGGATAAATCAAATAAAACACAAGCTAAAAATAATAGATTCAAAGCTAAAAGATTGCAGTAAGAAAATCAAAACAGCAATCTAATTTTTCTAATGTGATAAGACAAACAAAACAGAAAACAACCCAGGAGAATTTCCCCTGAATCAAAGTATTCAAAAAATAACAAAAGACAAATAAATTGACTTGGATGTCGAATAGGTGATAAGGAAAATGGATAAATCAAACTAAACCAACTAGGGAAATAAATAATAATAATGATAGTGATGAATAAACACAAAACAATTAATATGAACAAGTAAACAACAAAGAACATTACATAAAACCTAAAGGATGGGAAGTCTTGAGAGAATAAATTTGTATAGAAGAAGTGAATAAATTAGCATAAGCCAAGTGCTGTTGAAAGATTGGTGATATCGACGATGAGTGGTAAAACATCTGATGATGATGAGAATTCAATCGTTAGCACTAGATCCAACCGTTTGAATGTTTCAAGCATCGCTTGAGCACGCCCTTTATAGTATGCTACGCGAACGCGATCGTTGATTGCTGCCGCTTGCTAAAATCAGAATGAAGTTTTGCAAAAGAAACTTGATGAAAATAAAATGTTGTAACATATCGTGTTATTTTAACCGCAAGCATTTTAATTGGATTCATTTTTGATTACTGAGTATCCCATTCGATGAGTTTAGTACTTATAAGTTATACCTTAATTATGCATCATGTAACAGAGGTCAGCTAGTAATGGGAAAAAATATTATTCAGGTACTCTCATCGAGAAAATATGATAATGAACTAAGCTGAACCAAAAATAACAGATTTCTTCCACGATGTCAATATTTGCCACAATTTCCGGTTTCTAAATCAGGTCCCTAAATATCCGATGTTTAGAATTTCACTTTAAACTAGATTATTCAAATTATTAAGTTTGCTAAAAGGAAGTCAAAAGAGATGATTCAAACAGTGTATAAGTGGAGGAACGGTTTACAGAGTTATGCCACAACATACCAAGGTAGGCTTCACTTCATCGATTTGACAACCTTAACTTTACCAAAAAGTTCATAGAAGGCTCTCAAACAAAATCTGTATAGTGATGGACGGGAGATTCTCACGGTCAAGTGTAAGGATCAAAAGATAAATGTGGATGTTGATTGGTTTGCTTCGTACATTGTTGGTGTAGAGAAGTGGTTCCCAATTTTTTTGGCTAAGGACTACTTTGGTTTTTTCCACTTGTAACAGGTCCAAAAATAATAAATCCTGTTAATTTGAAAAAAAAAAATCAATCAAAACTTTCAACGTAATAGCTTATCAAACACTGATAAGAGCGGTCCCCTGCCTGCTTTCTACTCATCTCGCCGACGCCCTGGCTCGCAGAACGTCAGCGGTCCGCGGGCCACTGGTATAGAATGATAACAGGCTTAATCGATCATCGGCCAAAGATCAATCCCTATCTTTCCCTGGCCCCAAGAATTGTATTCGCCTTTTATATAGAGAAAATGCTGTCCTTATTTCCATCTAAAAAACCTTAATGAAACTTTTGAAGAGCTGAAAATTTTCGATCTTTATGAAATATCCCCCTCATGCAGTACTTCGTCTTCCGGGTGTGTTAACGGTCTGGGTCGTGTTTAAGCTTGTTTGACGTCGGAAGGATCAGGTTAAGTTCATTTCTAGCTTCGCATCTGACTATCTTCATTGTTTCGTGCTTCATATTTCTCAGAAACGAATTTAAATTTCCAACCTCAACACATACACACCATCTATCCACAAACTTTTACATCTAAAATTCATAGAAAGACAAACCTGTGCTTCCTGTGGTGTGAAACCGATCAAATCACTTATCGCATTGTTATCCACTAAACAATCAAGTGCATCGCAAGTTTCGTCCGCGATACGTAGTGCTGCTGTCCAGCTCTGTCCAATAAATTGCAAACCCGCATGCAATTTGCAAAAAATTGGCTAAAAGTAAAATACTTTAAAATGTTGAAAATCTGTTTATTATGAAAAAATGAATAAGTTAAATATACTGGTAAATCTATACTCAGAAGAGATAATAGTGAAAAAACTCTTTTATCCGACCCATAACTAAACAAAGAATAATATTAGGAATGGTTTGATATTAAATGAAAATTCCTCTGCCTAAACCGTTACGGATCGAAGTAATTAATTCGGTGAACAGCTGTAAAATACCTGCACTCGTTTACGATGCGCGATCAAACAGTACCTTCGCTGATGACAAGCTTCCCTTATCGATACAATGTTCAAGGCACGATAACGCTCTATGATATTTACATGTGGTACTACCTGGAGCGTTGCATCAGGCAAAACTAATGTTGTTGGACGATTTCTAAGAGAAGTATTATAACATGTGGGCTGTCCTTCAACTTGTTGGGCTTCTGCATTCATGAACGAGTTTTGAGGAGTGTGAAATGAAATCTGGAAATATTGACAAGTTGCACTAAATATTAAGGGTAAGAATAAGTTTAGGAAGTAATATAACATGAAAACGTCTTAATTATTTAATTTAGTTGACGATAAATGAAATATTAGTCAAAGATTACGACTATCACTCTAGATACATATTGCGAAATTTTTCACAAAGAGTTTAATTCATGGTCTGTTGCCTCGATTTCTTGTTGACACTTTTAATAAAAAGTGCTTAAAATAAAAACCATGCATAATTTTTTTTTCTAACAGTAAGCAACCAATAAAAAAATGGATATGTTACAGGATTCTGCTGGGAACCGGTAACTGGCAGCATACAAAAATTTTGTCCTGACGTGGGAAGTAGTGTGCCGGGACGATATAATGTCATATCTGGTTGGAAAGCTGAAATTGGATATAAGAGGAAAACGAGCCCAGTAAACAGTGAAGAGACTGTTTTAGAATATATAATGGACAAAATAAAATAATACATTCGAACTGCTTTATTATTAAGAACTAAAAAACTGCAACTATTCAAGTTAAATAAAACAATATAAAAATGATTGACGGGACCGGTCTTAAAAAGAACTTTCTTCTGCATCTTTGTTGATTCTTATTTAAGAACATAAGAACCACTCGCTTTCACTTCTCAGATTGAAATTTTGCTCCAATTTTTAGATGTTTGCAAGAAAAAAAAGATCAGCAGAGAAAAGAAACCCAAGATTTCCGATTTTCTATCACTTTACATTATCTATTGAAATAAAATATAATTTAACTGCCAAAAGTAATAGGGATAAAATTTGTGCTTTTTTTTAAACTACTTATGAGTTATGTATTCTTCCATAAAAGTTCCTTTTTTTTGTTCAGAACAGACTATAGTAATGTAGAGCAATTTGTAATTTCACCAGTGGATCATTCCGGAAAAAAGCAATCTATAAATTTATACATAAATTTTAGATTTTTTTAATGATCAAAGACTCCGTAGCACTGTTCAAATCATGTAAGGTTCAAACAGCATAGAATTAATTCCTTTAAATGTTGATTAAATAAAGTAGAAGAGAACAGATCAAATTCTGAGCAATGCCTCTCCGGGCCAGAAAGACAAATATTCAAACCACAGCAGAACAAAATGAATTCACATTTTCTCCGTTTATGAAAAGTGTGCCAATAGGCATAAAACAAATTGCTATGCCAAATAAACTTGTAATATTTAGGGGATACACCATTTGTCAAGTTTGCAAAAAACTGGGATGACCCCGACGTGATTTGAACACGCAACCTTCTGATCTGGAGTCAGACGCGCTACCGTTGCGCCACGGAGTCGCCAGCACTTTGCCCCCCACTATAGTTAATGGTTTGGAAACACTTGCCTTCGACAGCACGTTCCCGCAAGTTGGAGGACATTCGATTTATTGAAAAATTTTGTGGCGAATTTGCCGCGCTGTGGACCGGAGTTGTATCTAGCAAAAGAGCACTGTCATCTTCCGTTGTTTGCACTTGCACCTTAAACATTGTCAACTAATAACTGTAAATATAAGCACTATTATATTGAACCTAGCAGATGGTTACTTCATTAGTACTCCCACCAATATTTATTGCGGTTTCGATTGATCTTCTTGGAGTGCACATGGTTCAGATCGTTTGCCTGTTTAGATGTGAATAATAAAACATATTTATTTTAATACCACTTTCTGCCTGTTCAATTTACCATGCATAAAAGTGCAGCTAATACTTGAGCACGTCTAATTGTCTGCTAGCATTAAGCACTTTTGTCTCTCCAGAAAAACTTACTTTTGAAACAGGCACATGGAACTCATTTGTCAGAAATTGTTTGGTGTTCTCGTTGGTTACATGCTGCCTGTTAAAAAATGTATTTACAAAACAAATTCTGCAAATAGCGAACTGTTTATTTTTTTTATTTTGCTTTAACTGACTGATTTCCATAATTAGGGAATTGAAGAGAAAAACGATTAATCAATGAACTGAAGATTATATCAAAGATTGAAATAACAGCGGAAAGCATTTCTTTACTCAGTAAATTCTAAATAAAAGATAAAAAATCAGATGAGCGATGATGGAAATATGAAAGGTCATCCGAAAAGAAGGCAGTAGAGACAGAATAGATGGAAAAGAACATTCGCGTTATTTCATTAATTTAAAACAAGGAAGTAATAAATACCATTTGTTAGCAGTCCAAATTGTCCGTTCTTGAATGTCTGATGAGGAAATAACAGCTGCATGCCGAATCGTATCTGCGGAATTTCGCTGTAAATCCATAGTTCGAATAAGAATCAATGGTTTTGCTGTTGTTTCTTTTCGTTCACTTTCTCCACTAAGCATAACAGCGTCATATGTAGGATTTATTTTTCTGGCAGGAGGAGTGGGACTATTATTACCTTCAACTACTAGTGACCGAGTTGTTTCAAAATTTCTTTTCCATAACCTCGCTGAAAGTGAAGCCTTTTCAGGTTGCAGTGAAGCTTTTTCTGGTTGCATGAATTGTGAAAAAGCACGGAAATTTTGGACATTCTGAGTTTGGTCCTGCACTGTAGTTATTGATTTTTCCGTTATTTTTCTTATTTCTGATTGCATTGCTGAGTCATTCATTATCTTCTGTTGACAGAGTACCTGCGATACCACTACAGGTGGACCTGATTGTTCTGCTGATGGTTCATTTGATTCTCGCGAAAAAGTGATAGTTGCGATGGAGTGCTGCGATTGTTGCTTTGAATCAGCAACAGGAAGTAATGCTGGTGGAGGCTTCACTTCTCGTTGTTTTTGAAGTGAATCCCATGCTAAGTTTCTTGGTTCAGATTTTTCTTTGGTCTCCTGATTGACTAATGATATCTGAGATTTCGCTGATACTTTTGAAGTTAATCCAGAAGTGGGAATCTTATGCTGAGGTTGGAAATAGGACGTTATTGTGCGTGACAAAACAGGTCTCTTCCTGAAACGTTTAAAACCAGGCATTTTTGGTCTGAACTCTAACTCTCAAAACTTCAAATTCAATGCAAGAATATACTGTTTTTTTCCTCTGACGTTCTCTCCCTTTACTGTCCTGTTGGTATGTATGTTTGTAGTTTGCTGTTCACTTGAGTTAGCTGCAACATCCTTGCGCATGAAAACTGATGGCACTATGGCCTGGATCTATAAATGATGCGGAATTTGCAGAAAACGACCAGTGACTACTTAAAGATATGAATTTGAATCAAGTGAATTTCATTTTCCAGTTTACGCATAAGCAGTAATGTTAACCTTTTCCGCTCCTTCCGTTTCTGTTACCTCCACTGTCTTCACTGAATTTTTATATTCTTCGTTTCTCACACTAAAAAGATTTCTCAATTGAATACCCTTAATATTATCATGTAATCCTAATCTAATATTTCAAGCAGTAGAGTGCAACTGCAAAGAAAGTACGCTGTCAGATAGATCCATCAAGGCTTAACTACCAATAAAAATGAAGCGTACTTCTCCACTGGGGAATACTTGGTCCAAACCTTTTTCTCAGCAATGACTTTGAACGATGGAAAGAAGCCTACTACTTATCAAGATTAATACATCGATTCATATTTTGAAGGTCGAACATTAAAAAAACGCTTTCGAATGCCATTTCTCCGAATTCTGTGATAATATCGATGCTTTTTTGTTGCTTCTGAATTGTAAATAATATTTACCATTCCACCAATTTCAGCTTCTTTTCATCAATTCCCAACCGTCGTGCGATAATAAGAGCTGAAGTATTCTGCTGACATATTTCGCTCTCACCACCCAATATCATCACATTATCTGGTCCTAGCAACAGTACATTGCGACGACAGAACGTACCGCCACGGATTATGAGCTTAAAAACATGTAAACTTCAAGACAAGGTTATGATCCAGTTACTGCTTAGGAATATTTTAAGCAGTCTCTAGACCAGACAAAGCAACGAGAGAACAAAAAACGATGGAGAAAAGGTGGAAAATGTAAGTGCAGAAAATTAAGTCTTGCAACTACATTAGGAATTTAATTGAAGAATAAAAGTCATGACCATATGACTGTATTGCGACGATGAGATATCGTTAAAAAGACTTAATTAATGAAAAGTATTATGATGATTGGAGAATCAATTAAAAGAACCTGAACAATTCAAATCAAACCTTCGTCCCGCAGGACAATTTTCCGCACAGCTTATCAATTTTCTGGTATTCTATAGCGCGCAATTTCCTTTGGCCATCAGTTACTTCCATTAAATATATTCGATTTGCTGGATCCAAATCCTTTAAATAGATAGACAAAATGTGATGGGGAGAACATCCATAAGTTAGGTTATAAATGAATCGCAAACAAACAAGCTTAAAAACACCTAAAAACGCTTGAATAATCCTATTAAATCTTTGTTCAAAGTTGTTATTTCATGCATAGCTCACACATTAATGCAGAAACTTACAGAACACAAATGGTAATTATGCAATGAAAGTTATCGTTTTTTTGGCGATATATAAAGATATTAATATATTAAGGATATCGATATGTCAAGGACTACATCAAAATAATAAATATAATAAAAGGTTTTTTCAATAAAAACTGGAATAACATTCTGTGTTGAATTAGACATAAAATTCGAAAAGCATGAAGCAAATATCAAAAATAAGTTTCTGTTTTTCTCAACATAAAATTTGGATCGTATACTTGAATTTCAGTCCTAACACCAAGAAATGTTTTGAATCAAATTTCTGATAGCGAAGAAAAAACAGAATAAAAACAGTAAATTTCTAACACTAAAGGGAAAGCAAAGTTCTACCGCTTCAAGAAGGTAAACAGAAATAGTTGAAAGTTGTGGGATTAGGCCAGATTGGCTTAAATTGAAAAACCTCAGCGACTAATAATTTATTTGTAGGAATTTCTGAAAATTTGTGTGGGAAAATAACAAATAACCTCTGTTTCTTCATTTGGTTCCAAGTATAAAGAACTGTTACCCAAGTTACGTCCAAGGTATTGGTTTAATTTCGAGTACATTGAGGTGTGTATGTCTACTAACCAGTTTATCTAAAACAGGGTTATGATGTTGAGCTGGAACATCTGAAATAGAATAGCGATTTTTCTTAAATAATCATTTAAAAAAAAGAATAGATAGCATCTCATCAGATAAGAATATTGAATTATATAACATTCAGACACGCACATCTAAATTTCGAAGTTTAAGATTAAAGTTGGCCGAAATATTAAAAATCGATTTTTATTGTAGCTTTAAAGTTTTCTGATATAGTCTTACTTGAACAGCAACATCACTGTCCAGAAAAGTTTTCTTTTCGAATGGTGGTAGACGTATTTTCGGACGTGTACTATTTGATAATTCCGAAAAAAGCCATTGTTCGTATACGAGTTGAACTACTGTGGGAATGTCCTGTAGTGAAGTAAGTAAGGAGGTAAGAGAAGCGCTTTCGGGATATTATTCGAAAAAATCGTTAGTTTGGAGAGTTCGATAAGACTGCTATAAATTAAAGAAGTCTGGATTTTCAATAAGGATAATGGAAATAGAAACTTGTACACCATTACTGAGATTTAGATTTTTGGGCGACGATGCAGCTAAAATGAAAAGGCCCAAGCCGACTTCCGCCCAAAACAATCAGATTGAAAAGACGTTTTCATTTAGACAATCTTACACTACTGATTCCTTAAAAAGAGGAATATCAGAGGTATCGTACCGCATTGGCTCTTTCCACTTGAAGATATTCCAGGACTTCATTCAACCAAGCTTCCTTAAGTGTCACGTGAAATTTTGAAAATAACTCAGCAACACTAATTTTCTTTGCATCTGCCATCGATATTCACTGCTTATCTGAACATAACCAACGTGTTTCAAGTGTCTCGTGCGTAGAGTCACGTCTTTGGGATCCGAATGGAACTCTTATTCCTTACATTCTCATTACGGTGAATTCTCCATGTTCTTAACTTTTGACCTTTGATCCAGTGCAGCCTTATTCACATTTTAAAATTTAAGTTGGATGTAAGACGTCCCTCCGCCTAACACTTTTTCTGTCATCAACACACTGCACATCTCCACACACTCAGGTTCCCTCTGCTCCATTTTCTCACGCCACCGCGTAATGCAACATTCTCTCTATCAACCATTTTTCATCTCTCTTCCCCAACAATACCTCACTCTTTTCCATGGTTTCTTATAAGCGAACTTTTCATTGTTCTTTATGCACTCCAACTATTTGTCTGCTCATTTTCTGCACCGACCTGGTCAATCTGTAGCCTGTTACGACTTGTAATTTTTTGTGCATTACCCCTCCTCTCTTCCTCTTTCTGTCTTTCTTTTCTCTCTACCTCCTATTTCTATAATCTTACCTCACTTCATGCAATCTAAATGTCAACTTTGTCTCTCCAACTTTACTAGTGGTAGCATTCGTGATGGTCAAATTCCGTACGTAATTTCTAGTTTATTTAGGCTTCCTTTTATCCAGCTGTTTGTTTTTAGGTTGTGATGAAAGACTTATTTTCCAGAAAGATCCCGAGTCTTTTAGGAAACAGTTTGAACTTGAAAAAATCTTTACTGAATCTAATGGTAGGTGAATTGCGACGACTGTTTTTACCTCTTGATTTCAGCTCTGTAATGATCGGTAAAAGACTGGAGAGCGGTAACGTGAATTCAGTTGTGTTGGATGGGGAAATGGCACTCGGAAATGGTACCATAAGTGAGTTAATTGAAGATAAACTGCGAGAACAATCTATTTCAAAGGATGAAGAAGTAGTGATCATTGAAAAATGCATCAGCCCTACAAAGTCGACGTCTATTACAAGTAACCCACTCGGTGACATACATACTGAAACAGACGAGTTAGTTGCTGAAGGATGTGTTACAAATGCTGACGTAGTTGACAGAAAACCAAGTTCACGAGTGGAAATACGAAACATGCCACCCTATTTCAAATACAAGCAAGTCAAGGAACTTCTTTCGAAGTATGTAAGAGGTTTTTGCTGAGCTTGTTCAACAACTCAGATTTTGCCGTATGGTCTCATTTCTGATTATATAGAGATCATTTGGGAAGATCTTGTTGTTTTTTGTCTTATCTCTTTTTAGGCAGTTGAGCAAGTTCATTGTAAGGAACATTCGGCATACGGGCATAGCAGTGTTCTTTTCGGTACCGACTGCGGAAGAGGCTGCTGCTGCCGTCCAGATTTTTGATGGTTTCAAAATAAAAGGTCGAGTCTTACAAGCCAGAATAGCGCAATCAGAACAACTGAAAATTGTGAGTTAGCGCAATTTGTTTAAGTTTTTAAAAAGACCTTTCAGGACTTCTTTTACGGTTTATTAAAGCTGAGCTGACACTTTTGATAATTTAAAATCAGTTCAGCAATTCGTAAGATATGCATATTTATATGATATGACGTAGATATTTATATGATATGACGGATTAGGAAATAAAGTAGCATTATAAGTATGTTATCTTAAACATGTTTGGCTAGTAGCTACAGTATCCGTGACTCTTTAATTAACAGAAATCGCTAAATAACGATCAAATAAAGCGTACAGCACGCGAACGCGTGACACCACTGGCTGATAAGCCATACAACGAGCAACTCGAAATTAAAATGAAAGATGTGAAACGAATTGCGATGAACTTTTTGAAAGAAATGATTGGTGCTCGTGTAAATGGTGCCAGCAAAGTCGACATTGAATCATTGATTGAATCTGTGAGTTTGATTTCCATTTGGACACTGGTTTCCAGATCTATTTTTCTTTTAATATTAGATCTCATGCATGGAAGTGTTTCATAAATTCAAAAGTCCTTTATGGCTATTAAAGCGTCTAATTTTAACGGGATAATAATGCATGGCAAACTTAGTTGTCGTAGGACTTTCTGCATGGAACGACTATATAATTTTTAGGATAGTAAGCTTGAAACAGTTAGGGATTGTTCATATAGTTGTCGAATTGGAGTTTTTTTCTTATTCTTTTGAAAATCAGATATAGTATTCATTTCATTCATTTCACAATATAAAACCTTAATGATTTACTTGTCATTAATAACTTCAGATTCTTCCTTCACCTCGTATCACCGAATATCGAAATAAATGTGAATTTACAATTGGTCGTAATATCGATGGTCACATATCTGTTGGTTTTGTTGGCGGTCGATTTGCTGCTAATCAACATTTTGTGGTATCTGTGGACACATGTGATAATATATCAGCCCATATGAAGCGAATTGTGGGAGCCTTCGAAAAATTGGTTGTGGAAAGTGGTGAATTAGTGAGCTTTATGCTCATAAACTTTCGCTACTTGTAGAACTGACGAGAGTGTCATATTAGTCTCGAGTTTTTTCCTGTAGTCTGAAAACATTGAATTGTAAATATAATTGTCTCGGAAATCAGTATTTTGTCCGCGTTGTTATTTTCGGTGTAAACCGCGTTCTCCCCAAAATTAAATCATCAGTTTTTTTTTTTTCACGAAATTATCCGACTAAAATGATTGGATAATGTATGTAAAGAAAGAACGGACTATAAATTTGAACACCCTATAGTTTACAGTTAATCAGCGTATTTGGAAATTAATTCGTTTTTATAGTCTCCGCAAGCTGTTTTTGCAGCCATTCAATGAGTTTGAACGGAAAGGTGTGTGGAAGATGCTTTCCATTCGTGAATTTGGTTCAGATATAATGATGATTGTAACGATATTTCCGATGGAAGACAAAGAGCGCGAAAAAGCTTTGATAAAAGTTGTGGAAGAACGATTTCTTCAGCTGGACAACCTCTTTGATGAAAATAGTCTTTTTCGTATTACATCGCTGTATTGGCAGCGGTTAGCGAATGCTAGCGATCCGGTTATCTATGAACATATTGCAGGTTTATTGTTCTTTTGTTTGTTATGAATGCTTTTTCCTACTTTATTGGGAATTTAATTTTATTTGTGTAATTTGGAAAAGTATTGGAATGTAATTCTTAAATATGTAATTCTCAAAATTTTAGGTATATTTCTCTTTTTTAAAAATATTACCAATGGATTTTCGTGCGGTTTTTACTCGAACCTCAATTTTAATAGGGAAGAATAAGATTCAAAATAAGATTTATCTTTACTAGGTGATCCAATTGTTCCTCTTTGACTTTTTTTGAACTTATGCCATTTGATGTTGCAATCCTCAATGTGTGAATCTTTCGTAATCTCAGATGCATAATTCTGGATCATTAAAAATTTGACGATTTTTCTGTATTCCAAACAACTTTCAGCATAATTTTAGAAATTTTGAAATTTTAGATCATCGGTATAGAATCGTCTTCTTCCTTGAGGAACCACAATGTATATAGGATTTCAATTGTATACAACTTTTAGTGAACAGCAAACTCTTTCATTTTTAAAGGTGCCCCTTACATTTATGAGACAATCTTGGATGCCCGGTTTCGAGTTTCACCCTCATCGTTTTTCCAAACAAACACCGCTGGTGCCGCAATACTCTATAAAACGATTGCCGAAAAATGTGGTCTGTGTAAAATGGATGATGCAACTTCACAGGAAGCGATCGATGCTGATATGGTTACTGCAATTTCCGAAGAAGATCTCGAAGAATCTGCAAATGAAGATAACGGCGAGCCAAAAATGAAGATAAGAAAGCTTGAGAAAGTAGTTGGATTTTTTAACAATTTGAAGTTCAGTAATTTTATGATTTTAACAACTTTTTTCAATAATTTTTAATAATTTTGAGTTAATGGTTTCAACAACTTTTTATAATTCTAATGATTTCTGTTTTTGTTTTTTCTTTTAAGTAACTTCAATTTGATAACTTTTGTGCAGTCATCTTTGTTCTGGCTTGAGATTATAGAT